TGATAGCTCACAAACAACAGAATAATTGACTTCTATTAAAAGCATAAAACAGTTTGGTTCTTTGAAGTATATCTGGAGCACCTCGGCCATCGATGCTCCTGCAAGGCTCACTGTTACTCTCTTAAGATGCAGCTCTAACCCACCCCATTCCCTATTTTAACCTCTCAACATTGAGAGAGCATCTCTCAAGATGCAGCTCTAACCCATCCCATTCCCTATTTTAAGCTCTCCTGTTCCCATGGGATTCTATAATTACTGTTGGATGGACATTAACAAGCAGATGCCAAGTCTAGAGACCCAAACAAGGTGGTTCCACACCGTAGTTGTTCTGAGGAGAGAAGGCTGTCACGGGTGAAACACCGTGATAACCATCTTCAGCCGTGTCAGCCCTTGGGAAACTGCCCTGTGGGGAGAAAGATCATTCTAAATAAAGACACACCACAGAGGAGAAAATAAATCTCGATCTTTAGAGAACTGTGTTCTACTTAAATAGTGTTTAAGTATCTGTTGCAAATTAGCTCTACCTAATCTTGCATCCAAGCTAGCAGATCCACCACTTAAAGGTCTCCCAAGGGAGAGAGAAACCACTTTCCTAAAACTTTATCTGAATAGATCTGTTCTTGAAGAAGCAAAATCACAGTATATCCTCATGGAAACCAGGGTGAGATCGCTCCATTCTGGGTAAAGTACCAGAAGATGATCCCCAGGGCCATTCAAAATGCTTTGACAGCCACATGAATTCTGTGACCGTGTTAAAATAAAACATCATCAGAGCCGTTCAACACAGACAGGACAGTTCATAGGATCTTACCTGCCACAGGTTGGTACGGTTTGGCTGAAACTTATTTCCCCACGGATATATTCTTTCTGTCAAAGAGAGACAACCAGTGAATCCCTGCAAGTCAGGCCAACTGCTGGATTTTGCTACTGTAAAACCAGGCTTTTATTGCCGTCCTTTTCTGCTCAGCTTGGGACCCCAAGAAGAGTTATACGAGCGATACCTAGCAGTGCAATCCCTGCGGATGTCTCCAGTGGGTGAGAGGGGAGAGCAGGAGCCAGAGGCAACCTCCCATTTACCAATCAGTGCTCATCGCAGGGAATCCCATGGTAGCTGCTACACCCCAGTTACTCACAGGGGTTGCTGTATGCTACCACCATACACACCTGTGAAAGGGTATTGTTATCTGACTGAAGTGGTTGAATTAGAAAGATGGACTGAGAACATCAAGAAGCCGCTATTTAATTGACTCTCTTGGATACCTCAATGAGTCTAATAGACCTAGCACGACTTAATGAGTTGGTTGGGTTTAAGAAAAAAGGTCAAGCCTTGTCTTACGTACGTTCTAGGCCTCCCCTAGCAGCAAATTCCCACTCTTCCTCCGTGGGAAGCCTCTTCCCTTTCCACTTGCAAAACGCCTGCGCATCGTTCCAGCTCACGTGCAGCACCGGGTAATCCAGCCTGTCTTTTATGCCGGAGCCAGGACCTGAGGGCTGGAAAGAATTGCATTGAACAGATTCTAATTGATTTTTATGAGTTTTTCCAAAAAAAAAAAAAAAGGAAATAAAGGATAGTTTGGAGCAAGGTGGGGAACTGGAACCCGTGGCAATGGAACCTGAGATGTGATTTCTCCTCTCATTTTCACTCCATGATGTTCAGTGTCCCTAGCACTATCTGGCTCTACCCTCAGCATGCAAAGGACTCTCCAGGACTGATTTTTAGGTAGCAAAAGTTTCTGCAACACATTTAATTTAGCACCAAAGCAAGGAGACCCATTATCTAAGAGCCCCATTTACCAAAATATTTCCACTAGCCCTGCCAGCACTTTGAAGTCTAGAGTAGGCTTAGTGGTAACATTTCATGACATTCAGAGCAACTTTCGAGTATAAGAGAACATGGAGATTAATAAATATTTAATTAAAAACTACTGCTTATCCGCAGCCAAATCTCCCCTGTCCCAGGTTGGTCCTAAAGTGCCCATCTCAACACAGAAGTGTAACCAGCCCCTTGGAAAGGGTAGAAAAGCTCTACTCACCTGTCGCCAAAAAGCCTTCTCTATAGGCAGCCACCAAGGCGCGGACTGAGGGAAGAAACGACACCAGATTAATGCCAGATTAATGCTAGATTAATGCTAGATTTGCCATCTAGCAAAGCCATGCACACCCCAGCTATCCTATAGCAGCATGTATAGAGAAGAGTACTTGTTAGTCTGGAAATGGTTACATTAAAATTCAAGTTTGATGTTAAGCTTAAGTTAAAATTAAAGCTTGATGTGATTTAGAATACAGAGCCTAGGCTCATCTGCTTTTAAAAACAGATTAAAAAGCCCTCACTATTTATTATTGCTGTTTTTAAGATTTGATGAGCAGAAAATCTTGAAATGTACTTTACTTTCTCCCAGCTTATTGGAAGATCTAATAAACGTAGAACATGACAGTTTGGAGTGGACATAGAGAAAAGGGGGGGTTAAATCAGGCCACACTTAGTCCTGCTCTTGCCAAAAGCAAAACAACCCAGAACAAACTGAGAAGGGCCAGGGTGTTCAGGGACAGTTAGCTGTCACTAAACAGAAAAACCTTCTGCTTAGAATTTGCAATCTGCAAGCTGTTTTTTTCTCATGTTTTTATTTATTTAGTTAAAGCAAGGGCATCAGACAGGATTGCAATTCAGACAGGAATGCAATTTTCATCATTATTGAAAATCACCCCCTTGGGGTGTAGTCCATCTGTTAAACCTTTCAGGTTCCAGGTTGGATTTACCTCCAGTTTTTGGGTGACTTTTTTTTTCAGCTCTTCAGATACGAAATCCTCAAAGACAAAGCTCCAGCCAAACGCTTCTGCTTCTGTTTTGTATTTCCTTTCTCTAACAAACTCCCTGGCATAAATACAACATGCGCAAGTGTCTGGGTAAGAGATTCAAGAGGAACACCACCAAATACAGCAACCTGCACACACAGCACAGGCAGAGCAAGGCAAACACAGAACAACTGCAGCCACTACAAGTCTGCTGATAGTCCCAGTTCCTCCCTCCTACAATGAGCTTTTTGAGATTTTCATGAGCAATTTATTGCTCATAATCATAATAATTTGCTCAATAATAATTCGCTCAATTTATGAGCAAATTTTGAGATTTTTATGAGCAATGAGATTTTTAAAGGATGATATTGGTCTGATTTGGGTTTGTTCACACATCTGCTTGTCCGTTTTTATATTGCTTTTATGGATAAAATCATCCTATGCTTTTATCTTTATGAATTGTTAACAATTGCATAGACCCCAAAGCCCTTAAGGCCACTAAAACCTACATTTACTATTAGGGATGAATGTGCCCCCAAAACACAGCAAATCCCCCATGCTGTTGAATCCTGCCCTACATCTGACCCATTTTCTTCCTCATAGACTTTTAAAAAAAATTTTTTTTTTTTTTTTTTTTTTTTTTTTTTAATTCCAAGGCAGCTTTTAGATGCCGGAACCAGCCCAGCAACCAACAGCTTCAACACCCACCTCCTTCCAGCCACTGCCGGGGCTACTGCAGCTCTGCAAACGGAGCAAATCGAAACCTTTGGCCTCACCTGAAATCCCTGTTTGTGATGGGGTATTTGTCAATAGCAAATGACTTCACGGTCACCTCCCTGACCGGCCCTTCTTCGTTTTTATTGTCCTGGGAACTGGATCCCATTTGAAACTTCCCACCAGGCAGCTGCACCATCTCGTCATCCTTTCCAAAAGCTAGAAAAGAAGGAACTCAGTATGAGAATGGTCATTTTTAAACATGAAAGCACAGGACAACACATCTTTTCTCCCCCAAAAAAGCCATTTCACACCCTGGAAAAAGGGTGCATTAAAGTAGCTGATTGACAATGTTGATATACATTGTTTGAAAATTAAAAGGCAATATGTTCAGTTTCTCTTTTGGAAAAATTAACAGGCAGACCAAATCAACAAGATAAATAAATAGCTTCTGCAACTGAGAAAATAATAATAAAAAAATAAACGGGGAGAAGCCAAACTGGCATGAAAGCCCTGTTACACCAAGGGGAAGCAGCAGAGCAGAGGAGCAGCAGCAGCAGCTCAGACTCACGCTGCAGGGCACGGCCGGGCTCTACCAGGCAGCACCAGAGCACAAGCAGCAAGCGCCTCTTGCAGGGGGCGAAGCCGGGCGCCATCGGGACGGGCGCCCGCGGGAAGCGGCGCGAGCTGAGGAACCGCAGCGCTCGTCCGGATGAGCTCCGGAGCCGAGGAGGAACCGCAGCGCTCCCCGGACGAGCTCCGGCCGCATGGAAGCGTTTCCGGGCGCCGCGTAGGGAAGGCAGCCAAGCACTTCCCCTTCCTGTGCTGCCACCTTGGTCAGCACGGAAGAAATTAAACATCCCTTTGGCAAAACCCAAAAAATAGCCCCAGTTCCGTAAGAAGCACCTACTGCCACTCACCCTGCACACCCCAGCACTCCCTCCACTGCAGGTTGCTTTTCAGAGATTCCTTTTGAGCCAGGTTTTATGGTTCTTTTTCTCTAGTAAGAAAGTGATGGGTAAGTAGGCGAGAGGAGTTTGCTTTTTGGCTGCATTCCCAACTGTGAAAATGTAAGCTCAGTAACACAGACACAGGCCCCACACAAGTTCAGCTACCTCTTCTGGTAGGGTTGAATGCAAGTTGGTTGCTGGGCTTTCTGCAGCTTTTCAAACATGCCTATTTTAACCCTTTTAATGCAAGTAAACAAACTGAGTTTGATTTGAAAGAAGCACAAAACCATGAAATACTTAGTTTAATCCAATAGGGGAAAAATTCCAGATCTCAACCCTACCCTCTAAAACCATGCTGTTAACCAAGGACATTAGAAAATTGGCAGTATTTTCACAACTCCATCAGACCAGGAACTCTCGCACCTGAGCTAGAAAACACGGATCAAGCCCTGGAACCAGACCAGTGTTCACCAAGGTGAAAAGCAGAACACTCAAGATCAGGCCTAAGGAAAGCAGGGTATTAAATAACTGACACAAGCAAAGCACAGAACGTAACAGTTTATTGGGTAAAAAGGACAGCAACTTCAGCTGTATAATGCAGTGAAATTAAGAATAAATAACTGATTTTAGAATCAAACATTTGAATAGTTGCCAATAGTTTGAGTGGCCATGTTAACCGAAGGGTGCTTCTAGTTACAGCTGTGTGACTTCCATTGCTGTGAAAATCCACGAGAGCTAAGGGAAGGCTGCCTTCACGTAGACTTCTGCAGAGTTATTCTTTGGGGCAATACTACTCATGATGATCACCACTGATGAAGGCAGATCTGCTTCAGCCTTTGAGGGATGACATCCCAGCTCGCATAATTTCATCAACCAAGAGAATATTGCTAGCAATCACCGTGCTAGAAATAATAAAGAATGTTAGAACATCTTTGATACAGTTCATCAAAACAAGATAACTTCATCCCAAATTACTGCATCAGCTTTGCTGACCCAACTCCCACTAATTAAAGTGAAAACAAAAAATTACCATGAATGAAGTAGTTGCTTTTTAACATTGTAATTATCCCAAATCCCAGCTGCTGCAGCTATCATTGGTTCACCTAGGTAAAGAAATAAAGCAATCTTTAGTCATCACTGACCGGTTTTCTGCATTCAAACTATGACATTCTGCTAACATCTCATGTTGCTTGCTACAAACATGAAGTCTTATTCTGCCTGCTTCCTCTTCACACAAACCCTTAGCAGTACAACTATAAATATTTCATGGTACACAATGACTGCAGTTCATCCCACTGGAGTATTTTGCTTTTCACACAGAAAAACTGTAACTGCAACTTTATATTTCAATGAAAGAAGCATGAGGTTCTTGCTGAACAGCTACCGAATGATCACATGAAGCTGAACCAGACAGATTTGTCTTCTTCAAACAATATTTGCGTCACTCAGAAGCATTATTTTTCATTTCAGAGTTACTACCAAGCTACTTCTACTAGAGCATCTTAGAAAGGTTCTTACCAGTGTTCAGATCAACTCCAGTAAGTTGACCTGATTCTGCATGTTCTGTCTGTACCTTCACTAGAGTTTCTTGGGGATCATAACCAGAGTTCTGAGCAAGAACCTTGGAGAGAACAAAGACATCACTTCAGATAAACATCATGAAGCAGACAGCTACAGAAGTGTCTTTTGGAGTACTTGCAAGCCACTTCTTCCAGGAATTCCTTATACCTTAGGAATGATGAGAAGAGCATCAGCAAAAGCTTGAACTCCAAGCTGGGCTCTTCCTTTGACATTAGGTTTATGCTTAACAAGAGCATTAGCTACTGCCACTTCTAGCGCCCCTGCTCCTGGGATCACACATCCTGTAAAAAGAAAAACATCACTGAGAAACTACACTACTTATACAGTATATATTCCTTATAATGTACAACTATTAAAGGAGAGTAACTAACACTTTACACCGAAATATATTTAGCTTGATGTACAACTGCATCAGCTCTCAGTTAGGCCAACACAAATTCAGCCATTTTGAGAAGAATTCTGTTGAGACTCATAATTCCTTAACGTGATGAGTACAGACTTACCATCCTCGATGGCATTTTTAACAGCACGTAGACCATCTCTTACTGCATCCTTAATTTGTGTCAGTGTGTGCTTATTTGGTCCCCTAATCAACAAGGTAACAGAGCGAGGGTTGTCACATTTCTCAATAAAGGTGTATTTCTCTTCACCCTACAAAGAGAGTTAGAGACTTTGTGTCATGTATTTGCTTTATGAACACATACATATAAAACATATACATGCAAAAGCACACACTTTCAGATTCACTTCTGAAGAAATAGGTTTTCAAGAAACTATGTGAAGCTAGATATGTGCTTCTCTACCCATTTGAAATGCATGCAAATTAAGTGCCTAAGAGTAGATCTTCCTTAGTGCCTAAACCGCAAATCCTCCCTATGCACTATCTTGCATCTTTGCACCATCTGCAGAGGCCTATTTAGCTCAGACATACTTACCAATGTATACTCATAGATGAGCCCTGCATGGCCCAGACATTCAGGGGTGAGATCCTCTACGGAGTTCATGGCAGTACCACCACATGCAAGGGTCAATCTGAAAGGATTTATATACGTTAATATTCGTTTTAAACTCAGCAACTTGATTTTGCTCTAGTAGCCAGGTACTCATAACTGTTTCAGCACACAGATCAAGACATTTGTTGGGCTTGGATCTGAACTACCTGCTATTACTCTAGCAAGAGTTAACAGATTGGAGTAGATTCTTAAATTAGTGTGAGCCCTTAAAGGTGGATTCAAGCCAGACCTGATTCACACTGCATGAGTTTAGAACAAGATATTTACTCCTCCAAAGGAACTGACCTTTCCATGTTTCTCCTTTTAGCTCTGCGTAAAGCAACTATTCCTTCTTTTGCAAGTGCATCCAAGGAAAATGGGTCAATTCCCTAGAAACAAAGCAAGGGACTATCAGGGAAAAGGAAACACTGAGAAACGCTCTCCCTGTCTGAAACTAATGGGTAAATTCTGTGATGTTCCAAAAAACAGCAACAAAACCCCCAAAATGCAACCTCCCTCTCAAACTTGAATAAAAACTACATACTATATGATTCAAAAAGGAATCTAACAGCATGCAGCTTGCCAACAAGGCCAACATCTCAAATTCATTTCATTTTCATTTGCATCTATTCATCTTACCTTCTGGTTGATCACAACAAATCCTTTATCTGAATCACCACAGACTCTTTTTTTCAAGTCTATGATTTTGTTCACTCTGTCTTCAATGAACTTTCTTTCTGCTTTTACTAGCTTCTCTCTCTCTTCTGCACTTTTATAGAAGAATCCAGAGTTCACCTCTCTGAAAGGAGGGGACAACCAAAACAGTAAACAATAAATAGTGGTCCTTTAAGCTGTAAAAAAACCCTTAAAAGCAGATTAGGGACTGCCTAAGGAAGTCTTCCACCAACTGCATATATATATGTGTGTGTGTGTGTCTATACATATTTTCCCTTATCCCTTCTATAGTACCTGTCTTGCTCTAGAGCAGATTTCAGGCAGTCCTTCAATACTTTATGTGCACCTTACATTTGTTTTTTTGACAGAAGTATTTTCTGTTCCTGACCTTTCTGCTGCAAACTTACGTTTTCTCATATTCTAGAGACACATTGCAAGTAAGAACATAAACATCTTCCACTCGTTTCTTCATGTCAGGATGACGAGCACCATGATCCAACACGAGTCCTCTTATCAACCTGAGGAAGTAAAAAAAACTTGGAAGTCAACACACAGAAAATATTCATTTCATGAAAGCACAGACTGATGGTCTAACTAGTCAAGCATGAACTGCCTATATACTCATGCTAGAGGTAAACAAGAACTATGTATCCCACTTTCACAGGCATGCCTATTTTCAAGAAAAATAGACATACCAATCTACGAGTGAAAAGGGAATATGTTCTTGCATAGTGTCTGACTGCATTAGCTACTGGGAAAAGCTAACGCAGAATTCGTCCATGCCATTGAGGTACATTTATGAACCTACAGAATTTTCAACTAAATTCAAAACAAATTCATTTTCACTTGCCCAATGCATATTTTGTACTTGTAATAAACAAATGTAACATACAAGCACGCAACAAAGGCATTGTTACTGAAAAAAACACACATTGTTATGAAGCAAATTAGCAGTGTCATTCAGCGCTTTTCAAGATGTTTCGGGGGGGGGGGACAGGGGGACGGAATGAATCTAGTGACTGGGGAACTTTTACCCTCTAGGACCAACCCTGAGTTATCATCTTTTTGCTTTCCTTTCATTCCTTTTCAAGTAATTCTAGGTGACGGTGGCTTTATCTCCCGGAGAAAATCAAATCCAAGTGATTCTAATTTCAGGAAACTGCTAAACTGAAGCTCCAGAGTATTTGTTTCATTCTTACGTTGTGTCTGTTTCAGATTTGTGCTTCATCTCCATAATTTCCACCATGTAGAGATCAATGGGCTCATCTGGTTTTCTGACTGCCAAAATAGAATCTACTACAGCCTGTAATAAAACAAACACATTAGTCTTTGTCAGAGCAAGATCACAACATTCCACCCACCTTTCACCCCAAGAAGTAGCAAGAGCAGTTTAAAACCTGAACCTCTTCACACAAAACCAGACAATGTATGTACACTTGCCTCTGTTAAGACATCAGCAAGCTCAGTGTGGACTTTAGTACGAAGGGATGTTCTGGCAACATCCATGAGGGTCTCTCTGTCCATTTCCTTGGTTACTTTGACTTGCTCCAAAACTTCAAGTGCTTTTTCCTTTGCAATCTCAAATCCTTCTGCTACTATTCTTGGGTGCAAGCCCTAATGCAAGAACAGCAGAGAAATCATTAGACAGTAGGACACGAAATGGTATTTTTCAGCACTGCATCCAATGTTGAAACACAGGGAATCCACAGAGAGAGACAAGAGAATGTACTGTACTTCTGAATACATGTAAAAGGAATGACAATCCTTCTAATGCAGAGGAAAAGCACAGATTATTCTAGCACAGAATTAAAACCAAGGGAACTACAAAGCACACTTGGGTGTTCACTGTGCAACAGGTATGTCTATTCTTCAGTTGAAACTAATCTCCTTGCTAACATGCAAGCAAGAAAATTGTTTAAACTCAAACAAAATAGCCAGAAATAAGATCTACTTAAAATGAGTACATTGCAGAAATGTACACTTTCATGTTTGACTTATGAATTTTAGCATTAAACAAAACAGAAGGTGAATGCTGTCAGGTAAAGCTCTTCATTCACCTTTGAGGGAATTGCTGCATACATACCTCAGAGATGTAGAGATCTGCCTGCTTTAGGAGCTCTCCGATGATCAAGACATTTGAAGTGGTACCGTCTCCCGTGATATCATCTTGTGCTGTTGCTACTTTGGCTATCAAGGAGGCTGTCGGGTGTTGTATTTGCTAAACAAAAGTAAGAAGCTAAGCAATACACCTTGCTACAGAAAGTAACTCGTCTGAAATCAGTTTGAACAGAAATATTTAAGGACTAGTTGAATTGTTGTGATTTATATCAATTGACAGGATTCAACAGGTTTTTAAAAAAATCCTTTAAGAATAAGTATCTTGTATTAATGTAAATAACACTAGGTTTTCCCCCCCAGACTGTGCATTTAAACAGAACAATAATGAAATGCTCAAGAGTGAAGGGCTTGCTTGGGATATAACGAGCAGTATGTTGCTTGACAGACCCTTTTCTTTTTTGACTCCATTAGGGAGCAGATACAGCACCATTAACTATACTGCTTCTGACATGTAGACCAGCATGCTTAGACCTGATTTAGGGATCCCTGCACTTCAAGCCGCTCTTAACCGACCATAAGTTTGGTTTATCAATCCTTCAACTGTTTATTCTTTCTTCTGAAACTCAATATTCAGCTGGTTTGTTCCTTGACAGTTCCTCTACTGAAATTTCATGCAGAAGTACACTAGTGTTTCAGCCATAAACACAGCAGGAATATCATTCCTATCTGGCCAAAGTTCACAACCACATATGACCTTATGGCACTTACACAAATAGGCCTATCAATTTAAGCAAACAGGAATCACTCTGCTTCTCCAATTGCTGACTGGGGAGTATTTCAGCATCGTTTGAGCCCTACAAATCTTAAGCACAGCTGTATTTTTGCTTACTAATTGTGCTTAAAAAAAAACAAGAGATGAGTAGAACATGAATGGAATAATTCATGCTCTAACTCAAACTTTATCATTCTGATTTTTTGAAGTTTGAAGCAACTTACTATTTTTTTCCTGCCTACCAGAAAATTGTCTTCATTTTTTTATGCAGCAGTAAAACAATTAATGAACAAGGTGGAACAGTTAACAAGGGAAGTGTGGGACACACTAAAACCTAAGAGTATCAGGGAAAACATCCCACTGTGGATTAGGGACTCACAGCCACTCAGGGCAGGGTGGCACTACCCACCACACAACCTTCACCCACATGGTGGGTGGGAAAATGTAACACCAGACTCGATGCGAAAGTGGAATGAATGAATAGCACCCACCACCCAGATTTGAACATCTTTTAAGCCACAAACCTAACAAACTCAACAAAACCCTCTGCCTTCTTAGACCCGGCCGAGCACAATAAAGGTATGCGTCTTCTTAAGTAAAAGAAAAGTGATAAAAAAGTAATTGCATTAAACAGACCGTTTCCTTTCTTACTGCCAAATTAACGGGCAAACCCCACCCAGTATTTACCTTTTTCCTGGATCTCCTCCCAAGGGGCATTTCCCTCCACACACCGGGCCAAGCACCGCGGGGGGTGCAGGCCGGGCTCAGCGGGGGACAGAGCACCCCTCACTTCTGCCCCTGTCCCCCAAAGGGTCAGGGGCACCTTGAAGCTCCCCTCAGGCTCCCTCCCACAAACACACCCCACACAACAAGCAGCTCACCATTTCCTGCAGCAGCACGTTGCCATCTTTGGTCAGCTTGATATCCCCAGCGCCGGACACGAGCCTGCGGGGGGACACGAGGCGTGTGAGCAGCTCCCCCCGGCCTAGGCCCGGCCTAGGCCCCACGCAGGCCCCTTCCCCATTCATTCACCCTCTGCCCTTTGTTCCCCGCCACATGGCGGCGGCCACGGCCTCACACGAGCTCCCCCGGCCATAACGGCCGCCGCGCGCGCTGAGGCCTGTGGTGAATTGGGGAGGGATATGGGGAGGGGAAGGGGGGGAAGACGCGCGGCCACCCCCTCCCCACGCCCCTGCGGGCTCCCTCACATCTTCATGGTGCCCTTGGGCCCCAGGTTGGTGCGCAGCACGTCCTGCAGCCCGCGCGCCGCGCTGATGTTCACGGCGAGCGCGGCCTGCGCCCGCGCCACCTCCGCCTTGGGGTTGAGCGCCTTCACCGCCATGGCCGCCGCCCGAGCACGCCGCGCCGGAGGGAGCGGGGCGGGGGCGCCCGCGCCGCGCGACCGCCCCTTCTAGAACACTCCGGCGCGCGCGCGCCCTCATTGGCTACGCCGCGCGGCAGGCGCGGTCCCGTTGGCTGCGTGGCGCGCGAGGCGCAGCCCCATTGGCTGTGCGGAGTGTCGCTCTCCGCGCTCAGTCCCGCCCCGTCGGCGGCCGTTGGGCGCGGGCGGCGCTGACAGGAACGGGCGCCCCTGGCGGGCGGGCGGGCGACGGCGGCTGCTCGTCGCTGCGCGGTCACGGCAGCTGAAGCGCCATTCGCAGGGTCACGGGACGGCTGAGGTTGTGTGGGACCTCCAGACATCCCCTAGTGCAACCCCCTGGCTCAAGTAGGAACAGCGGATAGTCCGTGCACATGCAGGCGGGCACTTGGACGGGCACAGTCGCCTGATCCTTCCTCCTGCCCCTTCATGTGACAGCAGGCACCTGCCAGGTTCACAGAAACATGCGAATAAATAATTAAACTCGCCGATTTAACATTAGATCCTTGGAATTCATAGCTCAGCTGGCTGGATTAATAATCAAAGTGGCTCCTGGTGAGCATCCAGAGCGCTGAGGGGCATCGAAGCTCTTCCAAAGTGGAGGAAGGGGCCAGTGCAAGCGGCTCTGAACTGTGGCCAGGTTTCCTTGCAGCCTCTTTGTGTGGCCATTGGCCGCGAGAACCTGCAGATCCTGTCTGAGGGATCTTGAAGCGAGATCACTTGGGTTGAGATCCTGTGGAATGACTGTGGTCCCCTCAGTTTCTACCTCTCAGGAGTTTTGGGGGGAACCTGAATGAAAGGGACAACAAGCGAAGCGACAAGCCGGCTGCGCGGCCTCTCTGCTCTTGGCAGGGCCCTCCGGCACCTGCTGCCCTGCTCCCTCGGGAAGGGTCTCTCCGGTTTCTGCGCAAGGTGCCACCCTGCACAGAAGCGCCCTGTAATCCTGCTCTGAGCAGGGTATTTCTTGTAAAATACACTGATGTTGAGTTCTCGGTATAGAGAACTAGGCTCAGCTGTTTCCCCCCCCCTTCCTCTTGCTGTAATCATTAAAAATAAACATTAAACATTGCAAAATGCAGGAAATCACACTTAGTATTTCACCCCGGGGAGCTGGAGCTCTCCTGTTAATGTTTATTCTCCGTTTTCGCAGGGATGCCACAGGCCTGCTGAAAGCAAAGCGGAGCGAACCAAGCAAACCCAGCCCTGCAAGGCCGCAGCGCCCGAGCTTTCGATGCCGAGCTGCAACGCACCGCTAAAACACCGAAATTCCCAAAACACCGAAATTCCCAACTGTTCCCCGATTTTGCTGCCCAAATACTTTGCTGTTCTGATATTAAGTTGTGGGTCTGCCTCCTCTCGCGGGGCTGCTTGCAGCAGAGGGCAGCCTCGACCAGCGCAGCACGGGCGGACACACAGAGCTTTGTGTCCTACCTGCTGCTCTCAGCGACCTGCCTGGGCGGCAGGACCCCCGTCCTAAGCACAGACCCAGTGAGGCCAGGTGCTCGCAGAGATGTCTCCAGGTCACAGCAGAGGCAGCTGCAGCCTTCGGGCTTTGGCCATCCCCCAAGCAGCTGCAGTTCTCTGAGGGGAATTAGCACCATAGGAAAATAAAAGTTATTTTGGCAAATTTTAGTTTGAATTTGCTTCTTTGGTTTTTTTTTTTTTCCAGAAAAGGAAAACCTTTTTAAAAGAAATTGCAGTCCTTTGTATAGATATCTGCCATGAATGGAGGAGTTTCTTAAATCATTTATCAAAGTTAAGTGATGCTCTTTCATTGATAGTCACATAGTGGGAATTGTGCCTTAAACATCCTCTTAAGATTTCCATGCACACTTCTCTGTCCTTTCCTGGCCTGTATGTTTGAAGATTGCCTCTTTTTTTTT